CCATGCAGGTATGGTCTACAAAGATAGTGTGTTCATGAATTGGCATACAAGTTTTTAAATGTCACTTTGTATGTAAGAAACACCTGCCCTTAAACGTGAAATCTGAGTTAAATTAATCTGTCACTAATATTTTTTTGCTGTCTGTCTGTCTGTCTGTCTGTCTGTAGGTACATCACTGAGCTCCTTGGTGGAGATAAGTATGTATCCTGCTCTGTGGTTCTACCTGCCCTGTGCCACCTCCAGCACGCGATGAACATCTCAGATGATGATCCTGCCTATATTGTGCGATTCAAGGCTGCCTTCATCAAGGACCTCAACCAGCGGAGGGAGAAAATAAACCTGGAATGGCTTAAGGTATGTCAGAGTGACCAGAAGATAACTACATTGTATGACCATAATAGACTGTAAATCCAGATGAATAAGTCATGAAGAAATATGGAGGTTGGATTTGGAAAGTGACATTTTCATCAATCAATAATTATTATTTTTTATTCATCAAAGGTGGCGACTGCTCTAGATCCACGATTTAAGGACCTCAAGTGCTTGCCCAGAGCAGAGAGGGAGCCAGTGTGGGCAAAGCTAAGTGCGTTGATGAAGGGAGAAGAACCTGCTCTGCAGCCACTCAGGGAGGAGAATCCTGAACCACCCAAGAAGAAAACAGCCCTGCTACTGATGGGATCCGACTCAGAATCAGATGAGGAGACACCAGAAGATAGTACAGTGGAGAGGTACAAGGTAGAGTCCAGTGCCAGTCTAGATCAGTGTCCACTGAAGTGGTGGTCGGAGCACACTGCTGTCTATGGTAAGATGGCCCAAATTGCCCGTAAATACTTGGGGACTCCTGCCACAATTGTCCCATGCGAGAGACTTTTTTCTTTAGCAGGCCATATTGTGCAGAAGAGGAGAGCTTGTTTGTCACCAGAAAATGTGAACAAACTGGTCTGCCTGAGTGACTGGTGGAAGAAGGAGAAATAGAGCTTTGACTGACACAAAGCTACTGACTGTAAACAGTTCATTACAACCTGTTATATAGGCCTACTGTTCAACTAAAAATAAACAGTTAATAAACACAAGTACATCTCATTGTCATTGATTTATTTTCATCATCAATTATCATAGAACAGCTTTCTCAAGCAGTTTGTGATTTATTTTGGAAACTGGAGATGAGCCCCTGGTCTAATGCACCACCTGGCTTGAGAAACCCGTTCTCAAAGACTTACTTTTAGTCATTATTTGGGTAGCACACATATTCTGAATGCCTTCGGCAGAATTCAAATGAGCCATTTTAATCTAGATTAATCTAGATTAATTCCAAGAATACAGTGAGATTAATCTAGATTAAAAAAAATAATCTATGCCCACCACTAGTATAAAGATAACGAATAACATAAATCCTATGAAAGTTGCACAGTGACACATAAAGCAAAGATGGCTTGACTCTTTTAAGCTAAAGTACCCATATCAGAGCCAATAGAGTATGCACACTTGTGTTTTCCTTTTCCTTTGCCCGCCTCCAATCCACAACGTCATGGTCGGTATCGGCTGGTCTTGCTCAGTCAAATTAATGGAGAGGGAAAATTCGACCTCTAGCGCGTTAGAAAACCATTATGGCCTAATGACTTTAATATAATAAGGGCCCTCAAGTGTTTGGATTGCAAAGTTGGTTTCTATCAAAAAGACTTATCCGCTGATTTACAGATGTCTCTTTCCCAAAACGTTTTTTGAGGCCAAATGATGTCATGGACTAACACAGGGGTGTAGTACCACTGTTTGGCCACTACACAACAATTAGTTCAACATGTGGAGTGGCATGATATTAAAGTTGGACAAACTTCAAAGAATGTGAATGTTTTTCATCAACTGGACATGCTTGGATGAATCACAGCACAAAGCAGCAACACAGCTACATTTAGTAATACAAAAAAATAAGCCAAATATGTTGCCTTTAGAAACACAAATGAAGCAAAACTACTTTAAAAATTACACAATTAAAATAAATTAGAAATATTTTCTTTTAAAAAAGGGGAATGACGCATGATTGATTTCCCCAAGAATTCTAAAAGATTATTAATATAATTTTTTGAGAGAAGACTTAGTTGTGTTAGTTGTGCAGCAATCCTTTTAAGGGGAGTGTGTCATTCACCAGATCAATAGTCATTTCTCTGAGCTAGTGTCCCCACAGATTAGTCAACATAATGCCCCGTGAAACACACACCGCGGGACACAGCCTTGTCTCACTGAGAGCGTGTACGTGTTTTTGTGTGTGTGGGTGATTGAGTGATAAAATGGTGCGTTTGTCCTCTGTGGGGTCATGAAGTTAACAGCTATAACCAACATCATAAAGACTGATCACAGGAAGGCACATACACACACACACACACACACACACACACACACACACACACACACACACACACGCTAACATAACAAAAGCACATTATCTGCCTCACATACTGCAGATCAATCCATCACAGAGTGCTGCATACTGCAGGTAAACACTGCCACTGTGTTACTGTGGAAGAGTAGGAGAACTGTAAGAACATTTAACCATCTGGTGCCCTCGTTTCCAAGTCAGTGAGGTTTTTTAACGCAGTTTTGGTTAGAAGCCTGAAATAAGATCTGTGTTAACAAAAGCTGAATAGATCTTCAAGTTTTGTTTAACGATGTATAATACATCAGTAAATACCCCCACTGGTGAATGTTTGAAGCTGTTATGTTTCATAAAACAGTGGTTGCTAACAACTGGCTAAATGAGACTACTTAACACCATCCGCCTTTTAGACCCTCCAGAAAAACGCGATCCTGCGATCGCAGAATTTACCGCATAATCAGCAAAATGGCGCAGATTTTAAAAAGGCCGCATATTTATCAAAAGGCCGCATAATCCCCGCATTTTTCCACACAAAGTTGAGAAAAAAAAAAGTTAACTCGTCTTGACGTGAAGTAGTGATGATGATGATGACGCGACGTCATCAGCTCGCTCATCACAAAAGGTAAACAACACCGTAGAGTGAACGTGTGGAACTCACATGACGAACATTTCTGCTAAAAACCGGGCAAAGCAGTACCCCGATGTCTTTCACGAAAGTGGGGGGAAACTGTTCTGCACCCCGTGCAACTGTGTGTTGGAGCATAACTCTTAGAGAAAATTGACGGTGACGACCCACTTTGATTAATTCAAAAATACTTTCTGCTGCTGCAGACAAGAAAGCCAAACAACTCACGTTCACCGAGGCATCAACCTCCAAAACCCTTTCGAGGGCTACAAGAAACGATGTGTGTGTGTGTGTGTGTGTGTGTGGGATTAAAATAGCCCAATTGCTTTTACAATAAATAAACATTGAATGTGTTTAATTGAATAGTAAAGGGGTTTAACGTTAGTGGCAGGTTGTGTGTGAGAGAGAATAAATGAGACAGCCCAATATTTAAAAAAATTGTTATTCTTTTCCCCCGCATATTTCGCAACTTTCCTAACTTCCCGCAATT